TTTTAATGACAACAAACTTCAAATATGTCAAACACTGCTTAGAAGCCTAATTAGATTGTTTCTAATAACTGTGATAGGGTGATAAGGAATACTTTACATCTTCAGTGTTAGCTTACCATACTATTTCAAAGTTTGGCGGGCTAATTGATACCACAAACTCAATGTGGAGACCATAATATCAAGGAAGAAGAATTGTTGCTGTTAAGTTCCATCAGTTGATTCTGACTCATAGTGACCATGTACAGGGTTTCAACGGAGCATTTGGTGGATTTGGACCATTGACTTTGTGATTCACAATCCAATGCTGGTTCTATAGTGCTACACCAGAAGTTCAGGAAGAAGAATGGTGTGGTGAAAATGAAACAGGCTTTGGAGTTAGATTTACTAGCTTTAGACTATAGGCAGTACAATCAAGCCACTTGAAATTATTTCCATCTTGCTGTTGTTTAATGCCATCCAGTCAGTTCTGACTCATAGCAATCCTGTTTAGGGTTTCCTAGAAACAACTCGCAGATTTAAATCACTGAGTTTGCAGTTTAAACTGACCTTGGGGCCTTGTGTTTACCCTACACCAAGACTCCTATTTCCATTTTAAGTGTTGGGGTATTGATATTCATACATTAAAACGTTGACAAGAAAATTAAATAGAAGTATTACCTTGTATTTTAGAAATTTCTAATGGCATAATTATTTTCTGCCTTTCTCGCTCTCTAAATATTTATTGAACACCAATTAAATGCTGAGCATGAGGACTGTTTTGAAACATAAGAGTATTGTTTTAAACAGAATAAACTCCTCCTCTAAGAAATGAAGAGCTTTGGCTATATAGTCTCCTTTACTGTTTAAAACATTTATATTCCTGGAGCTTTCGTTCCAATATTATGTAAAGGATAAATCATGCTAATTAATGTTGTGTAAGGGTCTTAATTAAGAAGCCTCTGGTAGTGAAAAGTTGGCCTGCTAACCTCAAGGTCAGCAGTTAGAAACTACCAGCCGTTCTGCTGGAAAAAAAATGAGGCTTTCTGCTCCCATCAAGAGTTACAGCCTCGGAAACCCTATACAGGTTCGCTATGAGCTGGAACTGACTCCACGTACACTACCACCACCACCAAGGGTCATAATTAAATGCACAAATGATTTTAAGTTAAATAAATCTTCTATTTGGGACCCCAAGTAATTTTTGTATCCTAAAATTTCACTAGATATTTGGGAACAGTTATTCCAACAATGTCAGGGTCTTACTCTGTGTATATTACTCACATGTCTGTAAATATTTTTAACTTGAAAATTACTTTTTAATTTAAAAAGATCAGCCCCAATTCACCAAACTGGTGTGTTGAGTATTCTCGGCAAATATTTCACCTCTGCTCCCATCCTTTGGTCTAATTAGATACCTATTCTGGTGCTAGCCAAGGGCTTTTATATTGATCCTTGAGTTGCCTACATTTGCTATTCTGGACCTAGACATGTGTACTATGTCTATCGGGTGGTTACTGGAGTTATTGATTTTTGCATTCTCCTTCCCAAAGTTCCACTCTATGGGCCATTTTTATAATCTTTTGAATGTCCTCAAGTTTTTCTCTCTTTGCCTCACTTATACCAACTCTACGTCTCATATCTTGCCTTTTTCTTTGAGTTGTTTTTTTTTTTTTTTCTCTTCTTCTTCTTTCTGTGCTTGTCTTGGAAATCAATTTAAGAACAGTGATCCACCTAGCTCTTGAAGATTCTTTTTCTCAATGTGTTGAGAATCAGCCACATCTATGCCTACTTTCTGCTTCTTGGACTGGCTTTCTTTATTTGCTGTCCTATATACTTACTAGGATGGCCATGTAAAAAGTAGGATTTCCAGTTAAATTGAAGTTCAGATAAACCATGAATAAATTTTAGTATAATATTTGAGATATACTAAAATAAATTATTTATGTTTATTTGAAGTTAAACTTTAACTGGAGGTCCTCTATTTCTATTTGTTAAATCTGGCACTCTTATAGCTTAATTATTCTTGACTCTTTAATGACAGCTGACTTCACTAAATTTTAACTAGAAAATTTGTACCCTACGATCTACAGGAATCTTCATTGTAAATGGATATAATCTGAATGACCTGTGCTACCTAGAAAAAGCAAACAAACAAACTTACAACTAGGTCTTGGATTTTCTATTATCTTTGCCTCAATGTGTGTATGCATGTTTGTGTGTGTGTGTGTGTGTGTGTGTAGTGGTCTTGGGTAATTATCAGCCTTGGCAGATTTTTTCCCTACATTTTCTCTGCTTTTTTAAAAAATGTTACATTTATAGGAATAAGTTCTCATAGAAAATATTAAACTGTGTTGAACTATTCAATATAAAAGCTAAACATTTTCCACTCTCACTTTTTCCAAATTTACAGCTGTCATGAGCTAATCAGAGTTTCTTTGTATGCTGAATTAAATAAGTAGGTATTCTATAGTTCTATTATAAGTAATAGCACATCAAGCGTGGCAACAATAGTGAGGTTGACCCAGGATTGGGCATTGGTTCATTTTGCTGTGCATAAGGTCGCT